ATGTAACTTTTATAATGTTTTTCAGGGATTAGAAAGAACCCAGACATTTTTACAATCAGTTGGTCGCTATGGAAACACGCCTTTCTTATTTCCATTATATGGTTCTGGAGAGTTACCTCAAGCTTTCTGCAGGTGAGGAGATACTCTGATCAATAGCTCTGTGCTGATTTTCTGTGTTTTTCAGAATGTTAACCTCTTTTTCACATCTTTTAGTCAGGATATTTATGAGTGTGCTTAGTTAAGAATACTTCATGCTGCTCCACAACTGGTTTGTCAACTCAATATGTTCATTTGGTATGATTGATTATTACATCACAGTTGTGTGTAAAAGTATGGTGACCTTGAATAAGTCAATTTTCCTAAGTAACCTAGTCTACCTAGCTGTAAATGGGTAAGCGTATTGCCAAGCTGGTAGACAGTGGATCTATGTTGTTTTTAAAAAATGGTTGCTTCTTTCTTTTCTGTCAGATTGTGTGCAGTATTTGGTGGAACGTATTGTCTAATGACTGGAGTTCATTCTGTATTATTAGATCAACAAAATAAGTAAGACCATTTTATTCTGATATTATTATTGTTTTGTTATATTTTTGGTTCACTGAGATGATGGTTTTGGAAAGAGGCCAGATCATAAAAGAATTAAAGATGTTTTGAATTTAGCAGCAAAAGTTTGATGTAGCTGTACATTTTTTACTGTCATTTCATGTTTTTTTTAGATGTCAAGCTATTATTACCAATGCCGGACAAAGAATAAATTGCAAGTAAGTAATGTTGCTTATGAATATCAATAATGAGTTATTTGAATGTATATTTTTCTTTGAGAGGGAGGACTTTGTAGCATATGCTTGCACCACTCATGTGCCATTTTTTGTTTCAGGGCATGAACTATTAAGACCTTTTAGAGAATTATTCCTCATTATATTGTATATTTTGTTGTATTTATTTTAGATGGTTAATTATGGGAACTTCTTATTCTCCTGAAAAGTATATTCAAAGTCCAAATACCAAGTAAGTGAAATAAATATTACTTGGCAATTATTTCTAAACTTTTATATTAAATGATAAAATCATATATCAATAAAACTTTTATTTTTCAGAAATGAAAACCTGCTAAATTTTCTCAATTCCTATGTTTTTCACCAGATTTAATACTGAATTTATTTTTTTATTTGATATAGATATATTTTGATAAAACTGTGTATTACAGGAAAATATCTCGGTGTATACTATTAACAGATAGAAGTTTATTACAAACAGATACACAGGAGGTATGTTACAATATCACGTCAGCAATAACTTACTATATACTATATATATATACACAATCATCTAGCTTTTATACAGCTCAGTTTCTACAATCCACAGCACTTTTCAAGTAAAAATCTACTGTTCACATGTTCCATGAAACATTTTTGTTAAATTGCAGCAGCTCCCTGCACCAAATTTTTAATACAAAACATACTATACATCCAATATGAGCATAAATGAGTTTTCGGTTGTAATACCAAGTAGTATCTATATTATATTT